TAGTATTCTGTTTTAAAACAAAAATAGTAACTTAAGTAATAAAATACTGGAAAAAGTATAAACATACTAAACCTATGTGATTATTTCACTGATGTTTATTCAAGATTCGGAAAAATTAAACTGATTTATTAAGCAGCAGTTGTGGATTCTTGGGTTAAAATTGTCTTTGAGTTTACTATTCAGATTTGTGATGTTCTATATTCCTTGCCTGGTGGTTTTAGCTGTCCTAAAATTAGGCCTATATCTCTGAATATTGACTGTAATTACTAATCTTGCTTGCCATTATATTTTCAGTAAATGGAGGTGTAAACACTTTCTGAAAACCACATCTGTGCTGAGAGCATTTTGGAGAAGTTTTTCAAAATGGCATTATCTCCTATCTTCCCAGGTGCTGGAAAAGAGATAAGCCCCAATTCACTGTCTGAACAGAAACTGGGCAGGGGGAGGGGAGTGGTAGTAGATAGATTTAAGAGGACTGGTACAAAGCTATCAAAAAAGCCAGCCCAGGTTTTGTGGTCTACACACTTAGCATTTTAGTTTCTTTTTTTTTCTTTCTCTTTGATTTTTTGCCTCAATGAGAGAATAGCAACTAGATTAAGACTCCAGGTCCCTCTTTTTATTTAACTTAGGATCTAAAAAGTGGAAAAAAATTAAACATATTCTAAAAAAGAAAAAGGAAGAAAACTATTACGGAAAAGAAGAAAGAAAGAAGAGAAAAGAGGGACACCCCCTTTTCCAAATACTCCTAGTTTAGCATAACAGATGGTGTTTTATATGAAAATATGATAGTTAAATTGAAGTGATTTTAAGTCCAGTTCAGAAGGTTCAATTATTTGAAATTTGCACACTTAATACTAATCCACCATTACAGGTTATGTAGGGCAATGCAGACATTTGGAGGGAGAAGATAGATTCCTCCTCTGAGGTATAGAATGGATTTTATAGTTCAGATTAGTTGTTACTAAGTTGGTCATTAGAAAGAAAACCACACGTATATGCATCCAAAAAATGCTCCAAGAGGCTAAAAGGAAATTATGTGACTGAGAATGTGAACAGAATTCTTTTATCTGTCAAAGCTATGCCATGCTGTCTAAGGATGTTTTTGTTTGTTCATTTGTATTACAGATGCTGTCATGTGGAAAACACGGTACTGCTTTTTGCTTGCCATCTTCTGCTTGCACAGGCAAGTGCTCCTGTTAGAGTGGATATAGAAGCTTTTTTTTCTTCTACCTCAAGTGCCCTCTAGCGTGCAATATCTGCGCAGGTTGCTGTGTAGAAGGAGGAGGAAAGAAGAAAGCAAAAGAAATGTTCTACCAATTGCTATCCTAATTTCTGAATTGCTCTGCTCTTCTCTGCACCTTCCTCAAAGGGGTCATTTCCACATAAGAGTTTAGCAAAACAAAAGAGGTGCTGTTGCTTTTGCATGAAAAACAAATCACTCATTTACTAAACTGGGAAACAAATGCTAATCCTTTCTTAGGGGTTTCTTTTGAACATTCATCATCATTTTTCCAACGTTGCCTACAGTCTAGTAATCAGGCAAATAAAGGAAGGTAAGTTGCTCCCTAGGGAGAGATTCTGTTGTGTTCCTAAATCCACCACAGACCAGCTATAATGCTTTTGATGCAAACTGATTAACCTCTCCATGGGTTTTAAGTTTGTGTCTCCATAAAAACTGCATAATACTTCTTTCTTGCCTCAGGGGGGTAGTATGAGGCCTAATTGAGGTTTATAAAACAATTTCAGTTCCTCAGATACAATTTGGTGTACACTTGAACCGCCTTTCATCTTGCATCTAATAACAGGGTTTCAAATGCTCTTTGGTAGTCCACAGGGAAACTGTGATCAGGATCTGTATGTTCATAAACATGTTGTTAAAATGGTTCTGTGATAACTAGTGAATTTGCTTAAGAGACTTGGAATGACAAGGAATGGGAAAGAATATTTAGAGAAGAAAAATGTACTTGTTTTTGAAAATATGTCTGTGTATGAATAAACATACCTAAAAAGGAAGACAAAATTCCTGAAAACTTGTATTGGGGCAATTCTCCCTAAATTTTAAAATGAACTAACATAATGGAAGAAAATTTTATGCACTGAAATGCCACCCATTGAACAGTCTTTGAGAGTGGTAGAGATACCTGTAAATAAACTTATGCATTGGTATCCACAGAGAAGTAGGAATTTAGACATTTGGTATACTATTTGGAGGTTTCCTTATTACTAACTATGATACACTCCATTAGTGCACTGTCTCTTTAATTATTAAAGTATTATGCATTATAGCTATTATTGGTGTACTTTAAAGTATCAGAAACTTGAGGCTCAGAGGATTTGAGTGATTTTCTTGATTCTTACACTGTTCAGTTAAAGAATGTAATTGCATCCAAAGTTTTATAATAGCAAACATTATCCAATAATACCTCTTACTATTAAAATAAATATTACTAATGATTGACAATTAGAATCTATTTTCAATCAATGTATCACTTCATCTTAGAATTCATAAGTTGCAATGAAATAGGAACTAAATATTATATATTTGTAAACAGAATCAGTAAGAGAAGTGATATGTTTTGAATTATATAAAGCTATATGCAAATCTAACTAGTAGTCATAGAAGTATAACTCAAACTTGGAGTCTATTATTGAGAAGTTAAGAAAGACTGTATGCCAGTATCCTTAATTGCATTTGGTTTTGTTAATATACTCAAAACACACCAAACATTGGAGTAAGGGAAAGGGTTTATTGGAGAAAATCCAACAGACCGGAGGGAAGGGGCGAAGAAGAGAAAGAGAGTACATGTCTGGGAAACTGGTCCTAATATCCCTTTTCCAGGGGGCGGATAGGGAGGTAGGAGTAGCAAATCCTATTAGGATGGGGGTGGGGCTGACACTGGTGGTTGGGCCACGTGGCCACTTGGTTTCTAGCAATGGTGATGGGGGCTAGAGTCTAGGATGGTGTCGAGGTGTAGATCGCGCCATAAATAAGACTGCGCCATTTTACTAACACTCTGATTTTGAGAAGTTAAGAAACACTGTATGCTGGCATCCTTAATTGCATTTGGTTTTGTAAATATACATCCCAGATTCCATGGCTACACAACAAAATCAAAGTCTCCAAAGGGAATGGATGTTTTTTTGAAAACCGAACAAGGTGACTCTGATTCAGCACAACAAACACCATTCAGGAGATCATTTGGGAATGAAACCAAATGACATCTAAAGTTTTGTTTAACTCCTCAGAACTGAAGAGCAAGGTTGCATCACGCGTCTTTATTGCTATTTAGATCTCAGTAGCCCTTTACGTATTTCCAAGCGCATCAGTTCTCTTGTGTGATTCTTGCAGTAATCTTGTGAGATGAGAAGAAGATATATTATTACCTTGGTTTTATAGAGTTGCTGGCTTTTTTAAGAGCCAAAAGGGCCCCAAGAGATGATCTAGTTTAACCTCTTCTTTTCACAGGAGAAGGGGAAGGCCTTTGACATCCAACCTTAAGGTTACACAGCTAGCTCTTGAAAAAAATAGAAATAAAGAAGAGGTCCTGGATCATTGGTCATTTATGGATGTCAGGCTGCCACTTTTCCTTGTAAATATGGCTCAACTAACAATCAAAAAGCTAATCAACTGAATAGTCCTCAAGATATGAAATCAGAAGATTGGGGGAAACAAAATAAAAAACAGTTCAGGTACTCCAATCCAAAATAGTGCTGTCTAGAAAACTTCAACTCCCATTTTCTGGTGAGATTACATTTACTCCTTTTACCAAGGCTTTTCAATGTAATAATATGTTTTGTCTTGGTTGAATTATTTCAGTACCCTAGACTCTGGCTCACTAATGCAGCCTCAAAGACTTCTTTAGAGCAGATCTTGTCTGCTGCAGATGTTTGGAATGAGGATTATTGGGGCATCAGAGGAAGACAAGAACATAAGAGAAAGAAAATAATTATGCTCTCCTATGTTCTGCTGTGCCCTGAAGCTTTCTCTGGTATCTTCTGGTAGGAAATCCAAACAGAAACAATAGCTTGTTTCAAGCAGAAGTGTAAGACTGACTCCTACATTTTCCAAAGGCAAAGAAAAAGCAACGTATGTGACTCGCCCAACTTGGAGAGTCTGGTGAATTTTCTCTTCATTTTTTGCATGATGGTATTCTGGTCTCTTCCTCCAAGTTATGGAACTTTCTTCCCCCAAATAAGGAACACCATATTTTTCACTTGGTTGTTTTCTCCTTCCACATTACATAAGGCATAGAATCACTTTTCTGGAATAGAAAGTGATAATAAATGACACTAGCAGCTGCAGTGGGTATTCTTAGTATTCAGAGTTCAATATCTTGCCAGGCATTATGGGAACTGATTTATATCTGTTAGCTCACTTATTCTCTGTAGCAACTCCTTAATTTTTCAGATGAGGAAACTGCAGGGAAATGTATTTTACTTCTCTAAATGCTAATTAGGCTTCTGCTTCTCTCTCCAATATAATTTCATAACACAATTTATTTGTTCTGTATGGAAACAGTCAAACTGAACTTTCCTCAGTATTTTGAAAATGACAACTCCCTAGAATGAAGTCTATAAGAAAGAGCAAAACATTTGGAGTCGTATATATATCTGCTTCAGGTCCTGGCTGAATACCACTGGCTCTGTAAATTAGACCCATTGGTTAACTCATTTGATAACCTTTCTGAGTAGCATTTGTCTTTGTATATATGAATATGTCTCAAAGCAATGTTGTAGGAGTATTAAAGGGTGTGATGAAAGAAAAATGTCTAGGGTTTTGCTTGACAATTTGAATTAAAGGACAAGTTATTTTCGTCCAAAAGAATTTTGAAAGCCATGTACACAAGACATATTCAAAAAGTTCATGGAAATTGTATATTGTGAAAAAAGATATATATATATATATACATATATATATATATATGGGGCAGGCATTTGGCCAACTGGTTGTCAGGACACCTACATTCTACATCTGAGTATCTGGGTTCAATTCTAGGCACTGGTTCCTGACCGCAGCTCCCTTCTAGGATGGACTCTGAAAGGTGGCAATGGTGGCTCAAGTAGATTGGTCCAGCCACTCCGATGGTAGACCTGGATTGAGTTCCCAGCTCCCAGCTTCGGTCTGGCCCAGCCCTAGACATAGTAGACAATTGGAGAGAAAACTAGCAGGTAAGGACTCTCTCTGTACCACTCCTCTCCTCCCTCTTCCCTGTCTCTTTCTATGTTTTTCTGCTTCTCAAAGAAATAAAATAAAAAGATTTTAAAACACACAGATTTCAAGAAATATTTGCAACAACTAAACTTAAATTTAGTGTGGGTATTGTGGCATAATGAGTTAAGCTGCTGCTTGCAACACCTGTATCCTGTATCAGAGTGCCAGTTCTAGTCCTGGCTACTCTGCTTCTAGACCAGCCCTTCTATTAATATATATGATAAGTAGCAAGTGATGGCTCAGGTCCTTGCGTCCCTGATACCATTGTGGGAAACCCAGATGCAGCTCCTTGCTTCAGCCCGGCCCAGCCCTAGGTTTTGCAGCCATTTGGGGAGTGAAACAGAGAATGGAAGTTGTCTCTCTCTCTTCCCCTCTTCCCTCACCTGACCTTTAAAATAAATAAATAAATCTTTTGAAAAATTAAACAAATTCCATTTTCTATGAATATTTTGAAGTCCTTCATATGTGTTAGTTTTCTCTTAAGTGAGCCCACCAATACTTAACAAAAGCAGATGACCAGAGAACTGGTCCCTCAGAGATCCCTACAACTGGTCTGCCCTCTTAATTGTGTGATTTCAGTCTCATGGCTACACTGGGTATTCAGTCATATTTCAGTCAGCCTTTTATTTATTTATTTTTTATTTGACAGGTAGAGTTATAGACAGTGAGAGGGAGAGACAGAGAGAAAGGTCTTCCTTCCATTGGCTTACTCCCCAAATGGTCGTTACAGCCGCTGTTGCGCCGATCCGAAGCCAGGAGCCAGGTGCTTCTTCCTGGTCTCCCTTGTGGGTGCAGGGGCCCAAGCACTGGGGCCATCCTCCACTGCCTTCCTGGACCACAGCAGAGAGCTGGACTGGAAGAGGAGCAACTGGGACTAGAACCCGGTGCCCATATGGGATGCCAACACCGTATGTGGAGATTATCCAAGTGAGCCACGGCGCCGGCCTTTTAAAAGGTATCACCATCTGTTTTCCTGTTCATTCTCATCTCCAGGAAATATCTTCTTTCACCTTTCTCCAAATCATGTTCTAAATGGTTGATCCCTGCACATACAATCATGTTCATTCCTGGAGATTCCAATTGAGTTTTTTTCTCATGTTGTTTGCCAACTCCACCCCTATGTACCTTCATTACTATGAGGTGACTAATGTTGGAAGAGGAGCTGCTTCATTACATAGTAAACAAGCAGGGATTAATACATTGTATGTAATGATCTAAATGAGAAATAAAGAGATATTGAGGCATAAATGAAAGGAAGGAAAAAGCTAGAGCTAAGATCCCTATGGAACAAGAGTTCTAGTTCTCTAGTGAAACAGGTTCTGGTATCAGTCTGCAAACAGAACAGCACTAGAACTTTCTGAGCAAGAAAAGGACCAGCCATTGGTCTCCCTGCTGGTGTTCAGAACATTTAGCAGGTATGTCGTTGAAAAGTTTAGAGCTGCAAGGAAGTACCCTGGGAACAGTGAGTCAGCCCAAGACCAATTTCTCCATCAATGATCTCCACTCAGCGATTTATCCAATGGAAGCCATTCACCTTGTAGATGACACTTCATCAGCCTTCTACCTAGCAGGTTTCCGAGGAAGAAATCTGGACAGAAATGTCTGGGTTGGGACTGAGGAAGAGGGTCTTGTCTGGGGACTTGCCTGGAATCTGATTTACACAGTAAGAACACTGTATTTTTTTTATCTTTTTATACACAGATGGTATGTGTATTTGGGTATAAATTTTTATGGTGTTACTGGTAATTATAGAGAGGACCAAGTTCTAACTCCTTGGAATTACCACTAAGTTTGGCTATATGCTCTGGAGATGCAACCGTCATCAGTTTGTGGAACAGGCTCTGAACATAGAGGAAAGACTTTGTGAATCTCTAAGGATACCTCTCTGTGAGTAGCAGCCATCTTATCTTTCCAGATGGTTCACAGATATGACTTGCATGCTTCAGTCTTCACTCATGTTCCCACTTACACACTCCTGTGTCTGCTTGCACACATCTGCAGCATAAGCCTTCCCACTCAGTCCTGTCATTTTATGTTTGTTTACTTGTCACCTTTACTAGACAGATTCTGATCTCCTTGAAAATAGGAATTCTTATTTATATCTCTGTACCCCAAACCGAACCCAAAGCCTGATTCATAATCATTGTCAGACATTGTATTGCTTTAGATGTTGACCAAATGACTGACTGCAAAGATAACTACAATATTATTGTCAACAGTTAGCTAGAAATAGACCCAGATTTGGAGTTAGAAAAATCAGATGGCCCAGCAGATTGCTGTAGGGAGCTCCAGGAGGATAACAGATTTCACAGGAAAAGAAAGGGAGAAAAGGGGATGGCAAAACAAAGTGAAAAGAAACAAAGCCAGGAAATGCAATCTCTAGAGCTGAAATAGAATAGTGAAGATAATAGACTGAAAAGCTGAACAACTGAAAAAAGTTAAAAATCCATCCAAATGACACAATTAAGCAGGAACACAGGGAGTTAATTCAGATTCCAAATGGTAATTTGCATAATAGTAATAGTAATTCTCATAGTGATAATAATTATAATGATATCAAGTATTAATGAGAACCCATCTGCTCCACCTCTTATTAATACCTGCATGTTTACAAAGCAGTGTTCCATTCAAGGAGTGATCCCTCAGGCAGAGTAATCTGTCCCTGTTGTCCTCATGCTCTCATATGTCACCCCATCCCAAAGAGAGAGCTTTAAATCAGAATCCCAGGGTGCTTTCTTCCTCCAGAGCTAGGGGATTCCGTTAAGATGAAACACAAGTATTTGTTCATTTGTCTTTGAAATCCCAGTAGCTCAGAAGAGATGCTCAATAAATTTTCATTGATTTATCTTCTTATATGTAACCTACAGCAAGCTGCAAGACAAATAGTTCCTGTACCATATCCCCATTTGTTAGATGAAAAAGTGGAGACACATAGGTGGGGTGAAGCTGCAAACAAATCTGTGATATTTGAGCACATTAACTTTTTCTGTAGTACCACACTAGAACCGAATGATTGCCAAGGTCAAATGATTATTAATTACTTCTGTTAAGAATTTTAACAAAGCATGTTCCTTTAGAATTTGTATAGAAGACCAACGAAATCTCATGCCAGAGATACTGCTTCTGATGCTTCCCAAGGATCAAGGGCAAGGCTTAGGACTTCTGAGTCAGTCTGAAGAACCTAAAGCACACTTTCAAATTTTGAAGTGATGGAAAACGGGAAAGGCATTTTGCATGTGGATGTAAAAATCCATGTGTATTCTTAGGGAAATGGAATCCATGCATTTCTGATTAATTTACACTTAAATCACTGAAGTGTTTTGCAAAAGATATTTGATGTTCAAGAAGCCTTTTTAAAAGAGCCTAATGGGACTTTAAAGTTGTTTTTGTCTTAGGAAGAGGAATTTATTTCCCTCCCCCAATGATCTTATACCCAAATGATATGATTTTAAAGTCTCTTTTCTAAACAGAATCTTATTGCTCTGAAAATCTTTGCAGTTATGCATACTCAGAGTTAGTTAATCCAGATTTTGTGATATTATTACTAGTTCTTCATCTATCACCCATAAGTCCCCAATAAATTCAGCATATACACTTGAAGAGTTTCAGAGTATTGGATGTAATTTCCTCAGAAAGCAAAAGCCTCAGGGGTTCTAGGAGAACTCAGGGGTGAATTACACAATTTAAGGTTTCTTCGAGAAGCAAAGATAGAAAGGGCGAGGACCTGGAGTAGAATGATTATAGTCTCCAAGTTTACAGAACAGCTAAAATGGAAAGAGAACAGATGCTAAAAGTTAGTGGTAACTACAATTAATGGAGGAACCACTGTGTGCTCACGTTTTTCAAAATATTAGTCCAGTTAACCCATTGGATGGTGAAGATGTCATTACTCTGTTTTTCAGATGTAAAATGTAAAACTGGGAAAACAAGAGTGATTTTCCCATGGCCCAGGTCTGGAAGGTGGCAAGTATAGGATTCCAACCTATGCTTTGAGTCCAGCTGAAACTTATTAGGGAATCCCTGTGATATTGGAAATTGACCCCCTAAAATATATACAAAATGTGGCCCCTTAAAGTTCCCCAAAAGTCCCATCTGGGGTGCCACATATGTTATCAGAATCTGGGGTGCCATATGATATCACCATATGCTTATTAATAAATCCCCAATATTAATAAGCCCAAGAGGGTTCTTGCCTTATATTTAGATAAGAATTCTAAATACTGGCATAAATAAACAGGCAACATGGTACATATTCTAAGAGAAATCATGAGAGTGAGAGCTTTATCTAAGAGAGAGAGAGAGGGATAAATCTGGGTTCATACCGAGCACCAGGAACCAGCCACATGGAAGAGCATCTAGGCCGGGAAGCCTAGGGCAGGTGGCCCGAAGGCCATGAGTCCTGGGGCGCAGGGCTACAGCAAGCCCCCTCCTGGCAAGAGGCCAGCGAAAAGAAGAAAGGGAGCCACACTGTGTCCCAGGCGTTTAATCCACTTCCAAAGGGGAGTGGTTAATTAACCTGATTGGCTGGTGGGCACCCAGGTGTGGCCAGGTAGGGGCATGAGGTCACACAGGGGCGTGGCGAAGGCATGGTATTCCAGCTCACAAAGCTAGTGGATTTTAACCTGTATGCCTGCCTACTTCACCTGCACTTATCATGCTACAGGTAACACACCATGTAGTCCTTTTTGATGGGACAGAGATATAGAAATAAATAGGCAGGAAAGTCATTTGCTTTTCAATTCTCTTTCAACACTCTGATTTTGTCACCATAGAACATTTCAGTTCCCTGGGAGTGCTGATCTATGTAACAAGCAGAATGCTGGCCTCAGGCTCAGAGCCTTAAGCAGACTATAAGTGTCTTGTTATAAGTAAGAACAATGATTTGCATTCGTTCAAGTTATTTCTAAGTTTACCTTGCATTATTGCAAGTAAAAATGATTTTTGTATTTTGGGGTATGGATATAAAGTTCCCTTTTAAAACTTGTTTATATTATGTTTTTAAAGAAGTGAGTTGATTAAAATATTATATCACACAGATGGTGTGCAGGGAAAAAACCACAGACTATATAAATTACTCTAGCTTGAGGAGAAAAAAATAAATTAAACCAACATCCTTTCAAAGTATGCTACCAGTTATCAGATAAATGGTTCCCTTAAATTTGGAGGTTCCCTTAAATTTTACATTTAAAGTAGTATTCCTCAGTTTTTACTCAATACCAAATATTTGGATATCTCTACTTTGATTTCCTATGAAATCAATGCTTAAAAATATAAATGTCAGATCTGGGAGTTATAAAGACTGGGAATAGTATAACCTATTCCAGTGGACATTGCAGAAATGTGTTTAGTCTTCAGGTACAAACAATATTATATTTTTGAATCTCTGCATGCCTCCTTGTATTAATAGTTCAAAGCAATTATCATCTTTAGCTAACATCCTGGATATAGGTTGATGAAAATCGAACTGTAGTCTCTTCTTTTTTTTCAAAAAAGACTGAACTAAATAAATCATATAATTCTTCTTCACGTACGGTTTGGAGCTATGTGAAAACAAACTAAAATGTACTCCCATTTTTTTTGTGCCTATTTTATTTGGTTTATCACCCAATTGCATTTGGGGAGACATTGTGGTGTTCTTCAATGAAGGCTTATTTTTATTTTTTCTTTGTCATTGTGAAGGAAAGTCAACATTTTGCTCATAAAGTGTTAAAGTCTTTATGAACTGCTGATAGATATCAAGGAAATGCTCTGAGGATTAGGAGGTGATATTGTGGCAAAATATCCACTTCCTCTAAATATTGCCTTCAGTAGCTTTATAGCAAATATTGCTGAAGAAAGAGAGTATAAATCACTTAAGTCCCCAAAGACTTAATACTGAAGTACCATTTATGTTTTCCTTTTGTTGGGTTTACTAACAATTTCTGACTTCCTACCTAACAACACTACTGAGGAGTAAAAATCAACACTTTAGAAAAAGAGGGGTGGGAGAAAAGGAAGTAAATCTTGAACACTGTGCTAGTCCCTTCCTGACCATTGGTTTTGTGTGGTGTACCCAGGACCCTGGGGTCTTGGGCACCTCTGTGGGGATATCCATGGCTGTAAACAGATGGGATATGTTCTGGGCCCTATTGCTTGCTAAGTGTAGGATATTACAATTTAAATAGCTGGTGCTCTTTTGTTCTGATTTGTTTCTGTTTTAAAATGAATTTCTGGTCATCATTTCATAACAAGACCCTCCTTGTTCTCTTTTCTCCCTGCCCTGGGGATTTGTTCCTGACAATTGAGTCAGTCAGGATGGGAATGCTAATTTATTATAGCAGTCTTTTGTCAATGTCACTTTGATAGCTATACAGAGCTTCTGCCTCTTTGGTCTCTTTTACTGCCGTAACCATCTCTACTCTTTCTCAGTAAAATACTGCATTTAACTTCCCAAACCTTGGACTCTTCATCAGCAATTTGGGACAAAATAATCCTTATCTCATCTCTCTTATTGGGTTCCAGTGAAATTTCAATAACATAAAATGAGTGTTTGTGTCACCTGTGTTTTATCTGTGCAAACACATGCAGTGTTTCAGACACTTATGCTAATGTATGCAGTCAAGAGCAAGGAAGAAGGGCTCTTCCTATTTTTTGGAAATTTAGCATTTTAGCTGTTTTTTTTTTTTTCTGTTTTATTGTGAATAGATAGGGTGAGGACCTATCACATGTTGGGGGTGGTGGTGGGGAGGTTGCAAAATCAGCAGACATCTTTGTCTGGATTGCCATTCTCTTTGGAAATTTGACCATGATTATTTTTCATCAAGAGCTAAGACACTGTGTGAAGGCTTGGCAGTAACAGTAGTTTAGTCAGATTTATCAACCTGTTAGAAGTCAGCATTTTATTAATGTACAAATAAGTGCATTATAAATACACCTCCATGTCTTCTCAGTTTCATCAAGCATGCATTCAATCTCATGTTTTGGACTTAGTTCCAGGTGCAGATGAGATGAATGAGAAAAGATACCCTCGAAAGCTCCATCAAGTGGCAGAGACAATGTGAACATATGATCTGGGTACCTATGGCAGCTCTCAATTGCCGTAGAAGAACAGATTGATAGAAACTGAAGGATTAGAAGTCAGAAAATATCTTCGGAAATGTCTCTTCATCTCTGAATATACTGGTAAGCATCTAACCTTGGTAGTCATTTAACTTCTCTGACAGGTATCTGGATGTGGTTGGAGCATAGGATACATAGGAGAGAACAAGAAGAGTGGTAGATAATGGGCCAAAAACATTAAATCAGTCTACTCATAGGGACTTATCTTCCACATTGAGAAATTTGCTCTTTATTCTACCAAGCAATTCTCATACTGAAAAAAAAAATCATACACACACACACACACACACACACACAGTAGTTGTTTTAAAATATACCCATGGGGTAGGCTGTTGGCACATCAGTTAAATTTCCAGATTGGGATACTTATATTCCAGTTTAGAATGCCTGGTTGGACTCTTGGCTCCTCTACTTTCAGTCCTGCTTATTGTTAACTCACACCTTGGGAGGCAGCAGATACAGTTCAAGAGCTTACTTCTTGTCATACACTTGGTTGACCTGGATGGACTTCTGGGCTTCTAGCTCTGGTCTGACCTAGTCTTGGTTGTTGTGATCAGTTAGAGAATAAATCAGTGTCTGTCTATCTGTATCTCTGCTTATTTGCCTTTCAATTAAAATGAAAATAAAATAAATAAAATTTATCCCCTGAATTTTGGTGAAGTCAGGAATGGAGAAGGAGAAGTGGGAGTCCAGCATGCCATTTAGGAATTATTTGTAATGTTAACAAGACAAAAAAAAAAACTTACTTCTAAGTGCTTTAACTCATTGATGGCTCATAAAAGCTCTCTGGCACAGATGTTATTATTCTTATTTTACAGACACAAAATGTGAGGTCCAGAGAGGTTATATAAATTGCCTTTGATCACACAGCTGGATGGCTTCAGAGATCCAACCTTTAACCATTATTATACTGCACCTTGCCTGCAGTCTAGGCAAGGGAACCAGAGGGCCTGAGCTGGGCTAAAACAAGCTAAAAGCATTATGAACGCATACTTTTTATTTGAGTATACATCTTAGACTTGCCATCTATCTATCTATCTATCTATCTATCTTTTTATATCATTAGTAGCTCCAACACAGGCACTCTGGATTCTATGAATTATTTTTATTTTATTAGGTTTTAATGGAGCCTTCTTTAGTGTCCAGCAAATAGCTTATGCCTGTTTACCAAATGCATCACAGTGGTGGGGTCAGAGGCCTCAGTAGACTTTGTCCACTTATACTAAACACACGACTACCAGGCTTGTTAGGCACGCACACAGCAGTACTCATTGCTCTTTCCTTTCTCCATTATTATTGATCATTTCTCCAGCCTAGAATGTCCTTTTCACTGTCCCTCTGGATTTTATGCATGTGAATGTCTTGCTTGATCTCCAAAGTCCAAAAGTCCAGCTTGCTGAAAGGCAGCTGTTGTTAAAAAACAAAAACAAAAACAAAAAAACAAAAAACCACTTTGCTGTCATGACCTCTCATAAGCTCCCCACCATACCTATTGTATTCAGAACATAGCAGTATCTTCTAGGTGTTTGATATCTGTCTTATTATACCTACTAAATGATTGGGGCAAACAGAGAAATCATATGATCATATGTAAACATGAGTTACACACGAGACAATATGTAGTAGGGAAATAAAATGTCTCAAAGGATTGTTAACATTTGGGAAATGACAAGTGATGGACTTGATGGCGTGGATGGGATAGCTATGTGCTTAAGTCAAACGAAGTTTATCCCACTGGATTTTCACACATAGTATAGTGTTCCAAATAGAGGAGTGTCTAATTTTCTCACAGTTGAAATCTCCTCAGCCTGACATTCAAAATCTTTTTTAAAATTTGCTCCCAAATTCCCTCTATTAACTCATTTTTTATAACCCTGTATGAAAATTCCTCTGTATCTGCTCCAAACTTGGAGCTTCTGCTCACTAGATTCTCAGAGATCTTTGAATACAGCAGTGCATGCAGATACCTCTGCACTGTCATAACCGTGGCAGACACATCTAATTGATCAAGGCATGGCATGGACACATTTTTAAGATTTATCTCAGGGCAGCACTTTAGACAACCACTAAAAATCATTCTGAATTGGACAATTAGATTAAGTTCTTTTGCCAAATTAGCTTACATGCTTCCCTAGGCTTAAAATGGCCTACTTCATCAGACTCCTCTTTAGAAATCCTGCCAGTTCACAGTCTGCCTGTTCACATATGAAACTGCCTTGATTTTTCTCAGCTCAAGGAGAATTGTCCCTTCTGAACCAATGCAGCACAGGTCTGCAACATTTAGTTGTGGGCTCCCTAGTCAGGCCCCTCACTGTTGCAGTCACACCTTTGTGCCTAACATTACTTGTATATTTCTAGTTTGTGATGAAAACGCTCCTTATATCCGTTGTGAAATTCACTGATTCCTGGCACTTAGTAGGAATTCAAAAGACATTTGGAAAAGTGAAATTACTCACTGATGGGTGGATAGAAAGGAAAACCCAAAGAGAGATGGATAAAGTGCAATATAAACCAAAAGGCAAACAGCATTTGAGGGGAGGGTGGATTGACAGAGCCATTATGCAAGTTAATTTGTTCAACCCCTTTCCTAGCTTTTGCTAGCTTTCAATCTGCATGAACACCTCATCCTGCAGACAGACAGACAGCTTCAGGGTGGATTAAATAATCAGTCGTGTGAGAACAGCATCTCCCAATATGTCTGCAAAACACTTCTATTTCAAGAATGATTATTAAAAGCCACAAGGAAGGCAGTGATAACCCAGTTGAAACATTGACTTACTGATCAAAAGAGACACTAATACGCAGTCCTTAAGGGAAACGGTTAGATTTAACATGCATGCAAGCAAATCCTCTGCATTGTCACACAAAATTACCATCTCTGATATTTTCCTTTGGGCTCACAGTTTCTTGTCTGCCAATGGCTTTCTTTCCCATGTGTTTTTTTTTTCTTTGCTTTCTTTCCTTCCTCCTTTCCTCTCTTCATCTGTTTTGACAAGATGATTGTCCTTTGTGTTCTGTGTCTTTTTGCATCACCCTTTTGTTTTTCCTACATCTCTTAACATGTTCGTTTTTTTTTTTATTACTTTCAGATAGATTTTGCTCTTCAAATGTGCGAGGCTTCCAAAAGCTCACAGAAAATTTACATTATCTTTTAAAAAATCTTGTTAGAAGGGCAGAGAGAGAGAGAGCGGGAGAAAGAGATCAATCTCCCATCTGCTGGCTCTGGTTCACTCCTCAAATGCCCACAACAGGCCAAAGCCTGGAACAAAGAACTCAGTTTGGGGTTCCCAGATGGGTGGCAGGGGCCCAGCTACTTGAGCCATCATCTGCTCCTTCTCTTCATGCGCATTAGCAGGAAGCTGGATCAGAAATGGAGGCAGCACTTGAACCCAGGTAATTAATATGGAATTCACGTGTCCCAAGTGGCAGCTAAATCTGCTGTTCTACAACAGCTCACCTCAACACACAGAATTATCTTTTAATTTCACTTTTCCACAAATTTATTTTTCTAAAGATTTATTTTCATTTGCTTGAAAGTCAGAGTTACAGAGAGAGAGGAAGAAAGAAAAGGAGAGAGAGAAAGAAAGAGATATCTTCCATCCTCTGGTTCACTCTCCAAGTGACCACAATGGTTGAGACAGGACTGAGCTAGGCTGAAAGCTAGGAGCCTGAAACTCCATCCTAGTCTCCACCACAGGTAGCAGAGGCCCAAGCATTAGAGACGTCATCTGCTGCCTTCCCAGGTGTATTAACAGGGAGCTGGATTAGAAGTGGAGCTGTTGGGACTGGAAACAGCACCCATCTGGGATGCTGGTGTCATAGGTGGCAGCTTAACCTACTGCATCACAATGCCAGCCCTTAGAATTATGTTCTTAATGTGCATATAATATAAAGGGAGAATTTTAACCGTGTATTAAATTTTACAACAAAGATACATAAATACAAATGGACAATTATTGCAGGTGTGTAATATTAATGATATATAGCAAAAATATCCAAAAAGTACATCAAATACTAATAATACGTGAGTACTGGAGCTATGATTTTTTTCTTTAGTTTTTATTAATTTCAAAATATGTATAAACTGAGGGCTAGCCCTGTGGTTTAACGGGTTAAGCTGCTGCCTGCAGTGCTGGCATACCATATAGATGCCAGTTTGAGTCCCAACTGCTCCACTTCCAATCCAGCCCCCTGCTAATGTGCCTGGGAAAGCAGTGGAAGATTGCCCAAGTCCTAGGGCCGCTGAACCCATGTGAGAGACAAGGATGAAGCTCTTGGCTCCTGGCTTCACAATGGCCCAGCTCCAGCTGGTGCTGCCATTTGGGGAATGAACCAGTAGATGGAAGATCTCTCTCTCTGCCTCTGCCTCTCCCTGTCTGTAACTCTGCCTTTCAAGTAAAATAAATACATTTTTTAAAAATGTTTAAATGAAATCTATTATTATTATAGAAGCATTTCTTAATTAAGTACAGTCTGGGTGGACTTGAGTTTAATACCTTTTTTTTTTTTTTTTGGTTTGACTACATTTATTTTTCTCTCTAAATCTAAATTTCCACATTGGTAAAAAACACGTGTGTAGAATGTACCTGGAACAGAGGAAGATTCTTCAGTGATTACTTTCAGTACAACATAAGAACACGGAGCCACTGCCACTGGGTTGCCTATTTTACCTCAATGCAAATTCAGTCTTTGTAATCCCCTATATTTCTAATTTACTACCAGAATATGAGTACCAGTCCATTTTCTAAGACTGATATCTTCTGCAACATACTTTCATTTCTACATGGCAGGTAGAAGGGGCAGCAAGTTGGTAAGCACTCCTAATTAAAATGCATGATGCTGCAAATGTAAAAGGGACAGTGAACCATAAGCAAATTGCCTGACAGTAGCTGACAGTCATTGACTGGACAGACTTTTTGCATTGAGTACAGAAAAGATATCTTTTAAAAGATGTACACAGATGCAGCAGACTCTTCCAAGTTAACTCTTTGTTTACTTTTTAAAAAATAATTAATTGGTAACTAATTGAGAGAAAGGGAGAGAGCAAGTAGAGAAAGATCACCCCAACTCACTGGTACAGTCTCAAAACACCTGCCATGGCCAGGGTCAAAGATAGGAGTCAGAGACTCAATTCAGGTCTCTGAAGTGACAGAAATGCAATTACTTGAGCCATCACTGTTTCCTTCCAAGGTCTGCACTAGCAGCAATATTGAGTCAGGGTTTGGAGCCAGGCATCAAATCCAAGTACCTTGACATGGGATGCAGAAGTCTTAACCACAAGGATTTATTTCTAATGGAAACTCTGCCTCCAATTCAGTAGTATTCAAGTGACAGTTGAATACTCATACTCCCTCTCATTCTCTCAGGAACCTGTGTTATATACAATTTTAAAATCAATTTTCAGGAAAAAATAAGCTTAGATTTATTTTTACATGTTTTTATGTTTTTTAAAAAAAGATTTACTTATCCAAAAGGCAGAAACACAGAGATAAGGAGAAAGGGAAAGAGACAGAGATAGATTTTCCATCCACTGGTTCACTCCCCAAATGGCTGCAATGGACTATAGCTGGGCTGATCTGATGCCAAAGGGCTGGAGCTGGGCTGATCTGAAGCTTGGAGCCAGGAGCTTCTTCTGGGTCTCCCATGGGGGTGCAGGGGCCATCTTCTGCTGGTTTCCCAGGTGCATTAGCAGGGAGCTGGATCAGAAATGCAGCAGCTGGAACTCAAACCAGAACCTATATTGGGATGCCGGCACTGCAGGCAGAGGCTTCACCTTCTATGCCACAGTGTAGGCTCCCCTATCTTTATATGTTTTTAAGTATTAGATGTTAGTAATCCCACCCTTTCAGAGCTGGAGGGGCACTTAGAGATCACTGAGGTCACTGAATCATTTTGCCAATGTATCACCTGAGATCTGTCTAGTATCACACAGGGAATTGGGAAGTGTTGGGCTTTGGCACAGGCCTCTTGTGCCCTCTACTTTCTACTTAGCAAGGAAGCATAACTGCTCAGAAGCAAAATTCAAATCCAGCTTACTTACTCCAGCTCAAAGACCTTTCATTTTATGCATGTCCTAAAATCATCCTTTAATTAGTTCATTGGGAAAAAAGACAAATGGTTTTGCAATACTTATGATATATATTTACTGCGATGATTCAGATATCAACAGTTTTTGAGCTCCTTCTGGATAGCACGTACTTGATGTATATTATCTTTGTTATAATCTTTTTTAAATTTTTATTTATTTATTTATTTTTAAATTTTTTGACAGGCAGAGTGAACAGTGAGAGAGAGACAGAGAGAAAGGTCTTCCTTTGCCATTGGTTCGCCCTCCAATGGCCGGAGGCGCAGCCGGAGCGCTGCGGCTGGCGCACCGCGCTGATCCGATGGCAGGAGCCAGGTGCTTATCCTGGTCTCCTATGTGGTGCAGGGCCCAAGCACTTGGGCCATCCTCCACTGTACTCCCTGGCCACAGCAGAGAGCTGGCCTGGAAGAGGGGCAACCGGGACAGAATCCGGTGCCCCGACCAGGACTAGAACCTGGTGTGCCGGCGCCACAAGGCGGAGGATTAGCCTAGTGAGCTGCGGCACCGGCTTGTTATCATCTATTTTTAAAATGGCAAGTTGGGTTACATAACTCCAGTTTGTCGTAAGAGGCGAAGATGATTAGAGAGAACTGATAACTTTACCAGGAAAACATAGAATAAGTCTAGGAATTTGGTTTGACCTATTTTTGGTTAGAAAGCTCATACAATTTCTACCAAACCATTCTAGCTAAAGCTTCAGGTACCGTCATTGCAGTTTCCATTATAAAATGAGTCATCTTATACCAATTTTTTTTCTAATTTCAGAGATAATCTCCTAATGTCCATGATATTAATGAAAATACATGTATAATGTATTGTGATTATAAATAATACATATTCAACTGAGTAATAACATGCATGCCATGATAACTTTTTTCCTGAGGCTAATCAATCAAATAGTCAGCTGGAGCTAAAGGGAGAAGTATACAAAGACTTTGCTTGAACACTTATTTACCCTATTTGTGCATTCTTTACAGAAATAGTCCATGTGTTGTTCAGAACACAATAATGAACCTGATTTTCCTTGGCCCAGACATAAGAAATCTCAATTTTGAATAGTAGAGTCACAGATTATCTGTGGAACATTAACCATTTCCCAATATTTTATTACACACATTTATCATGATCTTCATCATAGTTACTATTTATGTTATTATTCTCTGTGCCAGGAACAATACTAAAAACATTACTACATGTATACGTTTAATCCTCTGAAGACCTCTACAAAGTAGATACCACTATTATTCCATTTTTATGGATGAGGAAACTCAAGTTGAGATGCTTTAAACATTTTGCCCTAAGCCATGCAGTTTGGGTATAATGAGAAGTAGAATCAAGAAGTCTGACTGCCATCCTAAATCTGGAATAAGACCCTGTCCTTTACCAAACTCTCTTACAAATATAGAAGTTGGCAGTTGCCATCTAAGTATCCAGCTGTTAGCCTTTCAACTCATTCAGTGAAGGTTGAAGTTGTATTGCCTAATAGTGTGCCATTTTCCCGATGCACAGCTTTTAATGTTCAATTTCATAGACTCTTTAAGATGTGTGTACAATAAAGAAGGCAAATAAAATCAAGCTCTGTGTTAATACAAGATTATCCAACAACCACATATTTTGTTTTTATTCTTAATCACACGTGAATGTTTGAATTTCCTACAGTGAAGTTTACACATACACATGCACACACACACACATAAAGAATAAATGAACCTTCCTCTTGAAATTAAATTTGACCTTAAGTAAAATTTTATGGCTATTGTTGATAATAAAAATGAATAGAATAGGAGGAAGACTCAAAACGTCATAATCCAGAGAACAGAAGATAATAGCTTTAGTTAAATTATAAGACATTGTGCTTGGCATTGGCTCATAACCATGGTATTAATGAAGTTTTCAAATAATAAGGAAGCAAAGGTCATTCACAAAAGTCTGTCATGGGAATGTCAGTATTTGAGTATACTATATTCAAGTATACTATATATTTAATCCTTAGGGGTGCCTTGGCCCTAGGATGAATGGTATAAGGAAGTATAAACGCTCTTCTCTGCCCTGTCATGGAGTTGCATGATCCATGACTGTTGAGTAGAACTGTGACAAAGAATGCTTCTCTGTGGCCTTGGGCTTGTGTTATCTGCTCCCTGAGCTGCAGTTTTCTCATTAGTGAAATGAGGGAATGACTGTGGATGGTTCATACAGCTGTTGGCATCTCTTACAACTTCTGGCTCAGGAGTAAATAAATGTTAGGGAAAAAAATTCTTACTCCTTAGAAGAATTAGAGAACTAACTCATGCTTGCCTGGTCTCAGTTTTGGGACAATGAGTAAGCTGCTGGGAGTCTAGAAAGAATAAAGATTTCTTTTTTTAATATACATTTTATCATTATAGTGTTTCAGGATTATCCAGATATTATTGTGCTTGTTACGTGATTCATTACCATTTTTGTAATGTCTTTAAATGCGTATTTGAAGATATTTGGAGTAAATGCATACTGCTCAGTCTTCAGAACTCTATTCTGTATTTCCTGCTAACTTAACAGTTCTTCTTTTAAAAAAATATTTATTTATTTTAATTGAAAGGCAGAATTACAGAGAGTGGGAGGGAGAGAGGGAGAGAGAGAGTGTGTGGTGGGGGAGAAATATCTTTTATCCACTGGTTCACTCTCCAAATAGCTTTAATAGTTGATGCTGGGCCATGCAAAAGTCAAGAGCCAGGAGCTTCATCTGGGTCTCTCACATGGATGACAGAGGCTCAACTATGGGCCATCTTCCGCTGCTGTCCCAGGAGCATTTACAGGGAGCAGGATTGGAAGGGAAGCAGCTGGGATTCAAACTGGCACTCATGGGATGCTGACATTGCAGGTAGAGGCTTAATCTGCTACACAAGAATGCCGGCCCCCAACTTGACAGTTACAATCCATGCTTCTCTCCTTGGTGAGTGAGGTTCAGGTCCATCCATTCAGAAGACTAGACTGGATTACACAATCTCTCTAACCACCCCTCTAATCTCTCAGTAAGTACCACACCTTAATGTTTCTCAAATATATCCATTTGGATCATTGCTGACAGCGATCTGTTCCAATTTCTCATGATCATATGGCTACATTGTTACAAGAGCTCCCTAGTTGGTCTATATCAATGCATCAAGATTTAAGAAATGCAAAGCTGCCATGTAACCCCACGGCTGTACTTCCCAGCCCTCCACCACTTTGCTCCTGACCTTGTGTAGAACCCTTTCCTTTCCTCATCATACACAGAATGACACCTTCGTCATACGCTGCAGACCCCTCCTCGCTCTCCTTATCCTTCACAAATCCTCTGTTCCTCTTTGTTTGGAGGATACTGGCTGACCTGTTCTGTAGTTCTTGGGCAATCTAGCATAATTCTCCCTGCTTGAAGTGCTGATCTCTCTGCATCCAAATCCTTGCTCTACCACAAACTAACTCTCATTTGGAAGACAATATCTGGCCATAATGAGCTCAACTTCTTCACTGGATGACTAGGGATGATGGTGTATACATCATAGATATGTTAATGGGAATCCAATGAGATAACAGTGGTAACCTCAGACAGGCACTTGTTTTTACCTTCAGTTGATCTGAATCATCAGTGTACAGGCAAACAACTTCACAGATACACACACAATTTCACATACCCCTCACACACTATTCTCTTACATTTCCAGAGGTGTGCTTAGGGAGTGAAGGAGTGTGAAACAACCTTTGATTAAAAAAAAAAAATTGGTTATTTCATTGTAGAGGCAGAGAGAAAGATTGACAGGATGAAATGAGAAGAAACACAGGCAGGCAGACAGGCAGAACTTCCTTCTGCTTGTTCACTTCCAAGATGCCTTCCTGTGGAAGCTGAGAGGCTGCAACTCAATCTGCTGCACCCACGTGGGTGGCAAAGACCCAGCTGCTTGAGTCATTACCTACTGGCTCCCAGGGTGCAAATGAAAAGGAAATTGGAATCAGGAGACAGAACTGGGACTTGGACTCAGGCACTCTGATATGGAATACAACCATCCCAGCTGGCAGCTTGTATGCTAGGCCAAAGGCCAGTCCCTTAAAGAGCTTCTTTAGAACCCAACCTCAATCATCTGGAGGGAAAAAGGGATATTTAAAAATCTACTCTGTGTGTTTCATTTTTTAGAATACTGGTTATTAGTGCAAATGCTTGAACACCGTCTGTGTCCAAATCCAGGCACTATTACTTACTTGATGCAAGACCTTACATGTTTTGTTTGTTGTGACTTCTCTTTCAAATGGAGCTAATAACAGAACTGAACTCATAGACTTGTAATAAGAATTAAATTAATACATTAGAATAGTATCCACCTATAATAAGCTTATACAGCTTTTAGAGCAGGTAAACTTTTATCTAGATTGAAAACTCAATTAAATACAGTCTTGTTTCATAAGACAATGACAGTGCTTTTCAGTTTCTGAAAAGGTAGTCGACAATAAGAGAAAAATCAAGCCATCCCAGGAGTCACCCTTTTACATTATTTATGTATCACGTACATGAAAGTTAGGCAAGAGAAAAGAAATCCATTTGTTTGCTGGCCTGTTATGAGTCAGATTTTAGGGCCACAAGTAGAATGAAACTAATGTGTGACACTGAGAAACAAGTTTCTTTTCTATTCAATATATTTCTTCTGACAAAGACTATCTTTTCTCAGGATGTTTACAGACATATAAATGAGGTTTTCAGACCATGTTCACTGAAAAGGATTCTTGGTAGAAGAAAAAGAAACAAATGGAAATTTTTTTTTATTAAATTCTGACTAGTTTCCAGTCTGGGGACAAAAATTCTGCCTCATCCATTGGTTCTGAAAACCATGACTTATACAGACGACTCAGAAGGAAGACACCTGAAGATGTCCAGTGTATCAAGCCTCTCCTGGAATGAATTTCCTTTCTTTTTGTCTTTCCAATTTTTGTTCTTCAATATTAACTCAGATATAATCTCTTTCAAGATGTTTTCCTCAATCTTCTCTATTCATACAAAGGGTGAATCCAAGATCATTTGTTAGGCTCTAGTCCTTAGACAGGCCACCATCAACTTAGCCCTTCATGTGTTTGATGCTTGTGCCACTATCATTACAGTTGC